TTTGTTCACTGCTGAACATAGGATACATTTATTGTTTTTCATAAAGAGTATCATGTTCCCAAAGAGTTCCATATTCGAATTCCGTAATTGTATTTTCATTCTTTTGTTGTAAGTGGCCAGATCCAGAGACTTTCAGTATGCCCCACGTACCACTGGCTCACAGAAAACTGAATAACCTCACGTTTACCGAAGTCCAACCCCCCTCCCCCCAATTCTTCGAGGAGTAGGAGGGGACTCAAGGGGCAGCAACTCACTGGTAACTCTTGAGTTGCCCGTGTTAATGGGCGTCGGTTGTCACTTACCATCAGCTGCCTCTCTGATCATTTGCTTCCTTTAAACATCATCATCATCATCATCATCATCATCATCATCAACAGCCTATACTAGTCCACTGCTGGACATAGGCCTCTCCTTAGAAAGGAGGTTTTGGCCTACTATATCACGCTAGTTAGACGGGTTAGTATAGGGTTTGTGTCAAGTTTTCATACTCTCTGCAGTGCTGTTGCCCTGCGTAGTTTGCTCCCTTAGTCGGCTCTTACGACACCCACGGCATGAATAGGGGTGGTGACACTCTGTATTCTTAATCCATCACCACACGGACGTCCCTTTAAACATAAAAAAAATGAGTACACAATTTTATTCTAAGTGTAAGTTAGTAGGTAGATTAAAACAATAGCATTTTATAATATGAAGGTCGAACCAAATTATCTTTTGATTTTATTTATTTTGATTTTTTTATTACTATAGCCAGCCTTTGTATATCCATACTAATATTATAAAGCTGAAGAGTTTGTTTGTTTGTTTGTTTGAACGCGCTAATCTCAGGAACTACCGGTCCGATTTAAAAAATTCTTTCGGTGTTAGATAGCCCATTTATCGAGGAAGGTTATAGGCTATATATCATCACGCTAAGACCAATAGGAGCGGAGCACCAATGAAGAATGTTTCAAAAACGGAGAAAATTTATTACTATTGAGAGACGCAGACGAAGTTGCGCAGGTCAGCTAGTATTAGTATAAGCGTCTTATTTCATATTTTAAAAACTAGTGAGGTCAAACTATATATCTTCTTTATTTCCTTAATTATGTACATAAGTATCTACACAAGTTACCGACTTATCTATGAACAACAAATATTTAACCTCTCCGTATTATCGTTTCCCTTTTAAAATACAAAACAGTAATTATTTTTTTAATGAATAGTTGTAACTACTCGCAACTCTTTGCCTTCGTGAATGTAATTATTTACCTAGATTCAGTGATATAAGATCCGCAAAGATTTTTTAGGTGTTGATAAAATATGTTCCTAAATCTGCTATCTTAGAGACTCTCTGGGAATAGGAAAACCTAAAAACAGAATGCAAATCAAAGAACTGATAGAATGGATAGAAATTCAATGAAGTTTCATTTGAGATATACTTATATACATTTTCTGTACACATGTAACAACAAAACATTGTCTCAAAAATTACAATTAGGATCCTTAACCTTCAAAAAACATCGTGTAACATTTTTGGATTTCTGTCATGGCTTTCTACAATTAAAATAATGACACAAGAAAAGTTTGAATGAACAATAACATAAAATTAAAATTACAAGTATCTACTTGTAATATATTTAGTAATAAAAATATCTACCTAGTAATAAAAATTTAAAAACCTAGCGACGCAGCGACATAAGGACTACCAACAAATACGATTTCGATGCCCCAATCGACATCATAAGGATTTCTTTTGTATATATTTTGGCGTCAAAAATTTAATTCAATCCTATGCTTCTCAAACGGCCAACCTTTTACAGTATATTGTTTCAATTTTCTTAGTCTTTATCTAATTCCGTTTCTTTTTGCAATGCCATGAAGTGTGAATCTGTAAGTTCGTTTTTTACTGTTAGTGAACGTATTGCTTCTGTGATATCGCTCTGTAGATCGTTATCAATGTTGTTTGATGCCTGATAGGCTCGCGATAATGTGTCCGCGATGTCTTATTCTTTACCTGGTTTGTATACTAATTTAAAAAATAATAATAATAATAATTAAAAGTATATGGTTGAAGTCGCAGAAGCATACGTTGCAATTTCGGGGGACAATCAATGATTGGTTTCTTAATAATTGTTACGAGAGGTTTACGATCAGTATCTATTACTATATCTGTACGTCTGTATATCTCCATAAAACCGTTCACACGCAAACACGCAGGCATATAACTCTTTTTCTATTTGTGCATAACGTTGCTTAGTTTTAGTTAAAGACTTTGAAGTATAACAAACAGCGTGCTGGTTTTTTATCAAAGTTTCTCACTAAGTCACTTTTACTGGCATCGACTGCTGTGCATTTCATATTAAACTATGCAGATAAATCTCGGCATTATTCACCAATTACATGCAAAAGTATATTCACCTGAAGGTTGAACTTTGCTTAGATAATTAACACACCTTAAAGTAAATTTGAAAACCGTTGCTCCATTTATTCTTCGTATATATATATATATATATATATTTATATATATCGTATATATGTCGTAATTTGATCAAAACAAAAAAGAGACGGCAGAGTTATGACAGTTTTCATGTTGTTAACCTTTAATCACTTTAAGATATATATTTATAGGTCACTTGTATATATGACTATTATTTAATATTTGTATCCTACCGACTACGCGACGTCGTGTGTCCAGGTATACGTTATTCAAACAACAAGGATCGAGTAGTACTGTCTTTATTTTATAATTTTACATGTCCCGTCAAGTGTGATTAAAACTAACTTACATTTCATTTAAGATTACAACTAAATGCTTAGAATAACATAATTTAAAAATTATCAATGACTTTATAACTGAAATAAATGAAATGCATTTTTTGTTTTTGTGTTACCACGACCAATGACCTCAAAGTATGGGATAAGCTCGCCTCAAGTTCATTACGTTCCACAAGTGTGGGGACACAAATAACAACCGTTCAAACAAGCTACATTAAAACAATCCAGTTTTAGAGATCGGTGAAATTGATCTACTATTTGTTTGTATGCCATCCAGGAAGCGAGAGGTCTTTGGCTCCCTCCGGAATGTGCCCAGCGTGGGTGGACGAACCGCTCCCATACACTTCATACTCTCCCATCTACTCGTACACAACCATACGGCTTTCTATTGATTTAATGAACACTATCTTATCAAACTCAATAAGCCTATTACGTTCACTTTACGCGTTTTGTTCATTGATTCAATTATTTATCCAACTAGGAGACAACATTTATGAAGTAACCAATATTGTACTTTAAAAACAATATTTTCAGTAACGGAAAATATTATCAATGCATGTTAATGAAACTAAAAAATTGTGTAAAAAACGATTTTAATAATGTTTAATACCAATAACAGATGGCGCTACACGTATTCTTATTCGGAATATTTATATCAAAAGCGAACTATTTAGAAATAAATTTAAATTAGTATTGAAATAGTTGCATAGTATTTATTTATACAAAAAAACATAACGTATTGGTCTAGTGGTTAGTGACACTGACTGTTAAGCCAGAGGTCGTGGGTACGATTCCCATCCAAGACAAATAATTGTGTGATGAGCATTATTTGTTCTATGTCTGGCTTTAATTTATTTATAATATTTACGTATGCCATACAGTCTGGTGGTATTATTGTTGTATAAGCGGCGGTAGCCTAGTGGTTAAGGCATTGTACTTGCGATCAAGAGGTCGTCGGTTCGAATCCTGACCACTACACAAGAACGACACACAAGCCCACAAGCAAGCCACTGCAAGGCTCTGCCTCGTATGGGATTTGACGGCCGTATGTAAGATGTGTCGAGGTACTATTATTACTTTTTATATTTATATGTATATGTATTATTGGGACTTGGAACCTCTATTTCTATTATCCTGATATAAAGGAACAAATTAACAAAACAGTTATGAGTATGTTACCTCTAAACGGTATTGTAAAGTTACGCGCAATGAAGCTCATTACAGAGCAATTTCCGATGGTTTAATGTGTCCATAAATTTTGCTGAGTTCGGGACAAGGTTTGATTGCCGATAAAACCTCGGCCGCAGTTGTGTATTAAAAAGCTGTTAATATAATTTGCACTTCATTACGTGTAAACTCGTCACGAGATAATGCAGAGTCATTCAAAATGTAACTCTATTGCAATCTTTAAATCATTTGTTAATAGGTATTAGATATATCCATCCTCTGAGCCTTTTTCAAACTGGGGTAGTCTTCTACGATAAGGCTGAACTTCGATTTTTTATGTGGAGCGACTGCCGTCAAATCTCCACAACCCAAGTACTAAGCAATATCGAATTTCTGTAGATAGACTGTTGTCGGACATTTTAGGGCTCCAACTACCCGTAAGGGTTGCCACAGATGTTCATATGGCAACCGAGAACGATGGCCTAACGTGCCCTCGCACAGAGGGGTTTCAATGTGTTAAGAATGATCATCCATCCATAGACTAACCTGGTTAGGATTGCTTAGATTTGCAATGTGCACACCTACTCGCTTGGCCAGGAGTCCCTTGAACCCAAATAGATATTAGACATAAACATATATTAATATATCTTATATATAAAATTCTCGTGTCACAATGTTCGTTCCCGTACTCCTCCGAAACGGCTTGACCGATTCTCATGAAATTTTGTGTACACATCGGGTAGGTCTGAGAATCGGCCAAAATCTATTTTTCATACCCCTAAATGGTAAGGGTGACCCATCCCTATTTTTTTTTTGTTTTGTAATACAACGTTTGCCGGGTCAGCTAGTACGAGTATATATATGTATATATCCATATCACCCTTAGAAGGAAATATTAATATTATTATAGATAGAGCTTCGATTATTTTTAAGTATGACGGTTTACTGTATTGTAGAGATATGATAACAGATAATAGTTTTGCAAGACAAAAAGATATAAAACATCTCCAGATATTGATATTGTATCTTAAATGTAAAGAATTCGTTCAATTGTTTAGTTGATATTGTAACTTCGTAAAATGCACATATTATTTAAAACTTTGTTTTTATTTTTTGGTAAGTTATTTTTGTTTATTATTTTGTATTTAAGCTTTTTTAAGTTATTTGGTCCGTGTGGTGACGGATTAAGAATACAGAGTGTCACCACCCCTATTCATCCCGTGGGTGTCGTAAGAGCCGACTAAGGGAAAAAACTAAGCGGGACAACAGCACTGCAGAGAGAAGGAAAACTTGACACAAACCCTTTACCAACCCGGCCAGCGTAGTATAGTAGGCCAAAACCTCCTTTCTCAGGAGAGGCTTATGTCCAGCAGTGGACTATTAAAGGCTGTTGATGATGATGATGATTTAAGTTATTTTAATATTTAAAAAATTAATCAATTCTTAGTGACCAAAACAAGAATTTCATTTTATTAGTGTTCAGTAATTCAACTAACGGTTTCGATGCAATATGCAACAATAGAGCTACTTTTGGCTACTTCTTTTCATGCCCAGCCATTGCCTGATGCCTTCCTATGAATGTAGATGTTTTCAGGCGCGACAAAGGAAGAAGGTGTATTTCTTCTTAATCAATACCGTCTTCGTAACGACGCACTTCTTTACAGAATAGGGGGGATATGAGTAAATAGGTCGCCTGATGGTTAGTAACTACATCACACATCACATCAATAGCCGTTAATAGTTCACTGCTGGACATAGACCTCTTTTAATAAAGGAGGTTTTGGCCAACTATACCACGCTGGTCAGACGGGTTGGTGAAGGGTTTGTGTCAAGTTTTCCTCCTCTTTGCAGTGCTGTGGTTCTGCATAGTTTGTTCCCTTAGTCGGCTTTTACGACACCCACGGGATGAATAGTGGTGGTGATACACCGTATTCTTAATACGTCACCATACGGACAGGTGTCCAATGGCGGCAGTAGTTACTACACAGTAAATACAGCTGTCATTGGACAGCTGTAAAAAGTTACGAGTGCATTACCACACAGACCCTGGAAATTAGAGGAATAGTTAGGTTTGGCTCCGGTAAGAAAGAATTACTTCACAGCAGTTTTCTGTGAGACCGAAGTAGGCCTCTCCCACAGTAAAATGTGTAATTTGTGACACACAACGCCATCTAGTTTCAAACTAAGCAGAGCTTGTACTATGAAAACTATATTGACTGATAAAATTCTGATATACTTTTTTTATTTAAACATACATATTATACACAGAAAACAACCAAATTTCGAAACAAACAATCATTCAAACATAAATACTACTATATATTTTTACAATTATGTTGAAACTAGCTTTACTGCGTAAATGTCGGTTATCGCGGTAAAAAGTAGCCTATGCCTTTCCTCGAGAATCAAAGTATCTCCATACCAAATTTCATCTGAATCGATTCAGCGGTTTAAGCGTGAAGAGGTAACAGACAGACACACAGACACACTTTCGCATTTATAATATTATTATGGATATATATATATACATATACTTAAGATTGTTCATTTCTTTCAATAGCCTGCTGTTGCAATGTCAAATCATCACCGTTGCAGCAAACATCAGATTCTGCAAGAATAGTTAATGGATTTCAAGTTGACATAACTGAGGTACCATACCAAGCGGCATTGCGGCGTAGTTCGAGCAATAATGGTGAAACGATATGGAATCATGTCTGTGGTGCTGTTATCATTAGTGATAAAGGAGTCCTCACTGCTGCACATTGTGCACCATCGTAAGATAATTTTTTACAAATTTATTTTTTGGAACGAAGTTCCTTATCACGCGATACACGCTCTGAGCGGATGGGAGCGAGAGCGAAAAATGTGTAACAAGACGATTTGCTGACACTTCTTGGCCTACCTACCTACATATAATTAACCATATGACGTGTATAGCAATATGTAGTTAGTTACAAAGACCCTATGTAATTGCTTGTAGACGCTATCTGTATATTAATAGGTGAAAAAGTTTTTTTTTGTTTAAAAAGACAACTCCCGCATTAGGAATATATCCTGTGTCGCGGGGGAGTTTACAAACATACATGAAACGGACACAAAGAACACCCAGACTCATAACAACAATTTGTGGATCACACAAAGTGTCGTCCCATGCGGGGTTTGAACCCACAACACTCGGCGCAGTAGGAAGCGGCGTGGCGACCACTTAAACCACTACGCCATCCGTGCAGTCAAAAGTCAAAAGTTCTTTATTCGCTCTTTAAACAAATATTTATATACGTCTAGAGGAGGAAGACGGTCCTATTCCTCCAGTGGTTATCGATCCTGACTACTTAGGTAGAGATTGTGGGTTCGATACCCAACCAAGGCAACCATTGTGTGATGTGCATTATTATTCTGTCAGGTTATCAATTATCTATAATGTGTACAAATTTGGAAATTTATGTGCACGATTGACGACAATAGTCTTCCCCATTACGTAGGCGTGAATAAAATTCTAGTCCAATATAATATGTGAGAGGTTTAAAACGCCTCTTTTTCCCCTTTCGGAGATAAGGACGTAACAATATGTGACGGCTAGATGTAGAAGAGCGAAAAACTGAGTTAATAATATTTAATTAATATATATTTTTATTATTTTCGGACATCTGACACACAACGCCATCTAGTTCCAAACTAAGCAGAGTTTGTACTGTGAAAGCTAGATTGACTGATAGAATACTTATATACTTTTTTTTTAAAATATAATATAATAAATACATACATATTATACATAGAAAACACCCAAACTCCGAAACAAATATTTGCGGATCAAACAAACATTTGGTCCGACTCAGGAATCGAACCCTCTGAACCTCAGTACAGGAGTCGCTTACGCTACTACTGTACCACCGAGGCGACGCAATCAAATAATATTCCAACAATATAAATATTTTTGACCAATATGTGTTGTAAAGTATGATGTTACAAAGGCTAGGGTAAATAGTAAATAGTTTGATCAGAAGAAAAAACAAGACCTTCAAAAAGTTAACATAAAATGATTCTTACAAAACTATTTTAAATTTAATAGTTTTGTTTAACTTTCATAAGACTAAATACCTTTTACCTTGTACAAACTATTCCATCATCATCATCATGAACAGCCTTTAACAGTCACCGCTGAATATAGGCCTCTTCTTAGAAAAGAGGTTTTGGCATGCTATAGGTACGACGCTGGCCAGACGGGTTGGTATAGCGTCTGTTTCAAATTTTCCTTCTCTTTGCAGTGCTGTTGTTCTTCATAGTTTGCTCCCTTAGTCAGCTCTTACGACACCCACGGGATGAGCAGGGGTGGCGACACTACGTATTCCTAATCCGTCACCACACGGAAAAATATACCTATTTAGTCTTTAATTATTTGTTTTAGTCGGTCTACTTCGCTGTCATCACTAGGAGTCAGAGTTGGTACAAGCAATAGAAATTCTGGAGGTGAAACCTATGAAATTTCTTCTATTGTTGCACATGAAAAATATTCACCTGAAACTTTAGAGAATGATATAGCTTTAATAAAAACTGTTACGAGCATAGTATTTAGCCAATCGGTATCTCCAATAGCAGTTGCCAGCCAAAGTCTTGAGTTACCTGGTGGTACTGAGGCATTAGTTTCTGGATATGGCGATACTTCGGTAAGTCTATTAAATAAATTTAAGTATTTTACAACAATAACTATTTTTAAATTATAAATATTAAGCCAAATAATTGTATTCATTTGAATAATGTTCGACTTGTTTTGAACGCAACATGAGTTCTTTATTGGCTGTAGCCTTGTTGTTGCTAGACGTCATTTTGCATAAGTTGGTTTTTGGGTTTAAGACTAGATCGAGGCCCTGAGCTGCTACCAGGGATTTCTAGGTTACTCCTGGGTAGGGTACACCTGGTTCCCCGGCTACTGGTACCCGAGACGGCGTGCGGTTTTTATTCGGTTCGAGTCCAACATAGCCACCGGTAGGTGGTATCCAAGGGGATTTCCGCACAGAAAAAAAAGGCCCTGAACTGCGCACATGAGTACAGCTATGTAATATTGTGAATTAATATGAATATCAGTCTAAAGTTTTATTCTAAGTGTAATAATATGGATTGAATCCGCAGTCTCATTCATTAGAGGTTTTAAAAGGTATCATTAACGCATGTGCGACACTAAGAGTCAGTACTGAATTCGTCTGCATTCTACGATACCAGATCAAGACCGTGTATAAAATTCTTAGTGTTATAAAACCATACAATTCAGCCTGAATGAATAAAATAATCCTTAATTTTCAGTACTCAGGCACGTCATCCCAAGTGCTGTTGGCCGCACGAGTTAACATTGTGGCTCAAGACACATGCGCTCGGGCATACCTTCGCCTTACATCGATCACAAGCGGAATGATTTGCGCTTTTGCTTCGAATCCGTCAAGAGACGCCTGCCAAGGAGACTCCGGTGGACCTTTAGTAGCTAAAAATCACCTAGTCGGTATCGTGTCTTTTGGTGAAGGTTGTGCTGATGCACTGTACCCAGGAGTTTATACTAGAGTCTCTGAATATAACGATTGGATTGCCGACCAATTACAGTAAGACGTCATGATGAAATTAGTCTCTTGACATCTTACATACCGCACTGCATTTATAATTATAACTCTAACTTATGGCAGCCATGTTTGTAATAAGAATAAAAGAATAAAAATGAGTTCTATGGGCTCTTAAAACTAAGTGTCCTATAAATTGGCTTTAGTGACGAATATATGACGTTTTTTTATTGTGTATGAGTTAATATTTAAGGAATAATAATAAAAGTAATCATATTTATGCTGCCAACTCCCGAAATCTAGGCAGTCTTGACAAATGATCATACCACTGAAGTGGCAGATGCATTTAATAAAACTCAATGCCACTAACATTAGCTTGGTGCAAAACTTCGATATTGCGCAGACGATCAGAGCGTTTGATCTTCATGATATATTTGGAATGGAATTGAAGATGGAATTAGTTTATCGTGCTTAATAGAGTAAAGTAGCAAACGAGATTTGATAGTCGTTACATAAAAAGAATTTTGGTTACCAGTTAATCTAGGTTGTAAGAACGGGAGACTGCGTCTTACTGAATGCTGACGCAGCTACATTGATTACAAAATAAGATATTAATACTCGTCAGAAAGCGAAATTTATTAAGTTGGTTCAACAGATCCTCGCCAAATTTAATTACCAGTGTTATACGGAGGATATTCGTAGTGCTCAACCACAAATATTCTTTGTCATGTGATGGCAGCAAAAGTAAACGCAGGCGCAGGTGTAGGTTGACTAAGTAGAATGGAAGACCGCTACAACAAGCAAAAAGTTAAGATGGTGTGTCTGACAGACCACTGCGCTTTGGGCCACCTTGCCTTCTTCGTCGAGCCCTCCAACAATTATAGCATAGCTCGAGTCGCTTTCAACAGACAGGAGGCATCATGATGAAGGCGTATCGAAGTCGGGTTTACTTTTTTGAAACTTAACTATTATACCACTATAAGGCCACATAAGGTGGTCCGACGACTCGCTGAAGGTTGCGAAATAAGAAATGAGTGAAGCCGCTGCAACGCATAGTTATTTACGAGTATAATTTCAAAGACTTTTTGAATATAAACAACTTCCTACAATTACTCGTTAATACATTCCTTAAGTAGGTGTCAATGACATTTTTACATGATGTTGATAATACAGTTTATTTGGTTATTTGCAATGCATGATAAGAAGTAATTGTACCCAAAAAATTTACATATTTAGTGTAAAGTTACGTCGTTACCTATGTATGTTATTCAAAGTTTTATTTTACCTTCTTTATTAGACAGATATAATAAATCATGTTGAAATGATTTAAATAAATTGTTTTCGCGGAATTTAATATCTACTCTGGCGACTTTCAATACAGCAACAAAACCGACTTCAACACCATCTAGCGAAACCGAGCTGAACTACTAAATAACTACTAATCCCACATCGCGCAATAGATGCACTTACTCCGTTTAGTATACATGTATACAACTTTTGAACATAACCATTGGACCGCAGTCCGTTAAGTTTGATAATGTCTCCAGATCTACCCATATTTAACTGGTGGTCACATCTGCAACCAGCTGTGGTCAATCGGTCGTCCCCACTGCTCCTTCACGACCACGCGCGACCCCATACTGCGCAACAGACAGTCTCCAAGCTGCAAGAGCTGGGGTTGGAAGCTCTCCCTTATCCGCCATACTCACCAGACCTTGCACCTACCGACTATTACTTTTTCCAAAATTTAGACAACTTTCTAGTGGGTAAAAAATTCAATTCCCGAGAGGCAGTACAAAATGCCTTTGAAGATTTTGTTGCCTCCCGTCCAGCTGATTTTTACAAGAAGGGCATCAATAAACTGCCAATGCGTTGGCAAAGGTGCGTCGATTGCATGGGTGATTACTTCGAATAACAGAAATAAAAAAGTTTGAAAAAATAAGTACTTTCACTTATTGCATACAAAACGGCAATTTCATAGGTAAAGACCTAATATTAGTATAGATTTTCTAATGTATAATTTATTTTTAATAAATTAAATCAATTCTTAAAAAAAATATTAAACGGAACTATTAAGCTACTTAATAAATTTATATGATAATAACCTATTAACATATCATCCCCTTTAAAAAGTGACGTAGTTATACCGTACAAAGACGGATTTTTTGCAAGCTGTCACCGCAGGCTGCTGTCCTGATTGATTACTTCATTTGAATCCAGCCAAGATTCGATTAATGATTAGTAGTTATCGGATAAAAGATTCGTCCCCTGAGACAATGCATCAATTCTCATACTCGTTCGTACCTTTAACGGCAATATTTAAAATACTCTTTTATGTAAATCTGATGTGCATTCAATCCACTAAATATAATTCTAGAAGGAACTTATAACCATATATATGACTTGTTAAAAACGTCGGTAATAAGATGACAACATATATGACGTATATGCCAAAAAAGCAAATTAATCAACAAAGCCATCAACATCCATGGAAACATAATATTAAAAAAGTATTATAATCTACGTTAAATACGGTGAAAGCTTCCGACACTCGCTCGTAATCCGTTTCCTCATTCTACACTACGACATTGTTCTGTAACTTTGAAAAACAACAATTATCAACTTTACTACCTTAACATAAAGTTGTTTATAATTAAAAGCCAATCATGATTAAAGATCTTTGAAACGTAAGCTCAAAAATTTATTTACGACACCCTCTTATTTAAAAGTCTTCTGTCTCTCTCTTTATTACGTATCGATAATGTGTTTCGTCTCATTCTGGTGACTATAATAAATTTTAGGGCGATTTTGAATTAATAATACCATAGTCATAATTTGCAAGCCCGTTGTGGTGCTTTCATTGGGATGTTTGATGATTTTGTTAACGTTTTTCTATGTAATATTAACCGTTTCTTTTAGTTTAAAAATACATTTAATTCTAAATCTTCAAGTTAATTTGTAACTACTGTATTAATAGGATAATAATATTTATTTTCGTCTATTGTTGTATTTCTTTATTTTAAACAAAATTCTTAATTTTTTTTCTTTTAATACAAATTTACTCAACATACTTCATGGTTTGCCTGCAAATAGAAATCATAATATAAAGATTATCGATAGAAGCATCCTAGTAACTTGTACATCACTAATCTGGTTGACTGAGCGTACGCCACTCAATTCAAGGGTGGCACTGCTCAGACGGCAATAACGTATACATGAATAGGTGTCGATTTGAGATCCTCGACTAGCGTCTTACTCGAATCAATTCTGATCTTTGTCGTCACGCCAGCCCCGCGTGTCGCGTCACGCAGTGACACTTCGACCAAATACGTCAACCGTATCAGTATTTGACGTCACCTAATAATAACCGAGGTACTTATAGAACTTTACCGCTTTGGTTTATTCATATAAAGTTTATTAATTTAGTATTTATTTTCAGAGTTTCAATATTGTGAAGTTAATTCAGCGGTATAAGAATCTCATCATCTAAAACAGTTTGGTCAATTTTCAGATTTTTAAATAAATGAGTAGCAATAATCTAATTTTACAAAGTGATTCTAGTTAAATATTCTACTTTTATTGTACAGAAATGAGTTTTTTCTAATTATTTAAATATTCAAAAAGTCAATATGTTGTTGATATTTAATTCGATTAGGACGTTGAGCGCCTAAACCCACCGATAAGTAAGTGTAATGCTATAGTCCCTCAGCCTATTACCTGGCAATTTCACAGAACAATCTACGTCGGATCGCGTCGACAGCACACAGTGATGTGACACACACGGCCTTTGTAACGGAGAGGGACGGCACTCGCTCCCGCGATTTGTTTACACAGTGTAGCTTTCCCTTTCGTATCGCAAGTGTGTGCGTGACCATCTGGCGGGTGTACACGGGCGGCAGCCCTGTGCCTGTACTAGTGTCGCCCCCACACCGCGGCGCGATCGTTCCTGCACACCCCGTTTCGGGGTAGCCTGCCTGCGCTTGTACGCGTGACCCAGTCGAATAAATCTAATATTACACACAAACATATTGGTAGCACGCCGTGTCATTTTTACGCTTGTGTTGTTGCTACTTGGGGTTCTTTATGTGGCGCGATGATATTATTATTCTGACGATTACGACATCCTTTATGCTTACAATAAAATAATTAATAAGGGATGAAGTATATTGTTGTGAGGCAATCTGTGATCGGTATCAGAGCTCTTGGCTGTGTTTGAGATTTTAAAAGGTAACGATAAAGTTTATATTACCATCTTTATGAGTAATTGGGTCGGCATTGTTTAATTAAAGTATTGGTACTTGTGTATTTAGGTTATTGTTTAACAACTATTATATAAATGTGAATTGTTCTAAACACAAAAAGACTGCGTGTCGATAATGATTCAAGTTAAATAATATAATTGAAGTTTAGCATTGAATATAATTGTTTGATAACACGTTATAAAAAAGAATTATATATCTATAAATGTAATTTAAATCATTACATAATATATTTGCTTTAATATACTATTAAATATGTTAGAATGTTCCGAAACCGTATATTTACTTAAATAAAGAAATATGTATTTAAGTGGTCATACTATTACAAATTTTAGTTTGCTAACGTAACCGAGTCCATGAATGAATGAACCCTACTGATGTGCCGTTTAGTGATGTCAAAGATCAAACATCGATAATATTGACAACATCCGGAAAATGAACTAATATCAATGCATTAACATTGTTAAACTGCTGAGTAGGTGGTAATCACCATTAAAATTCTCCTAGAGTACTGTAAAAAATGGGTACTAACGAAATACGTTCAGTACGGTCATTAGCAAACTACAAAAGCGTGTTAATTAACCAGATTGTAGGCACAAAAGCATCAAACATTTCCAATTACTTATTCTATGATGGAACAGTTGACAGGGCGCTCAACCCCCGTTCAGTTTAACAATTACGCGGCAGGGCTCATTGTGACGCGACCCTACCTCTCCATCCATTGCGGATACCACTATAACGCTTCCACTATAACTTGATCTCTCTTGAGATACACCGATCCTCCGAACTG